CTTGAAAGCCCCTTGTTGGGGTTGTCATAAATTAGCTGTAACTTAGCAGCACTACACACACATTTAAAATCTGTACACTGAAAAGAGTAATGGCTTGGGTGGGAAAGAGGTGTGTATTACCTGGTCAGAATGTGGGGTGTTATCTGAGGGGAGAGAACATTGGGTTGGATCTAACCAGCTTTTCTGCTGGTGAAAAAGGAAATAGGGTCCTCATTGACCTCCCAAAAGTGCTTGTGAGTGTTTCTCTCTGGGCTTCCATTTTGCCAGGTAATATCTGTCTGAGCTTATCATGTGTAATATTTCTAGGACCACAATTCAAGTCCTAGCAGGATTAGGAATGGCTTAAAACAACTAAGCCTTGGGATCTTGGGGGAGACCAAAACTACCTGTTCCCCTTCACTGTTATATATAAAAGAATGCCTTTAAATTGTAAGCGCTATCATAAAATCATGTACCTTGCCAGGGGTCATTTCCTGCAGGAGCGCACAGGAGCGGAGCTCCGGCAGGAAAGAGCCCAGGGGGTGGGCACATGCAACAAGCCCCACCCCCTGCTCCCAGCAGCCCTCAGTCAGAGCAAGAAGCAGCCAGGTAAGTTGCAGAGCCCACCCAGGCCCCCCAGTCCAAAACAGTCCAGTGGCACCTTTAAGACCAAGTTTTATTCAGGTACAAGCTCTCCCTCCTCTGCGAGGACAGATCTGCACGTTTCCCCCCCCCCCAATAGGTAGCAATCCAAAACAGTCCAGTGGAGCCTGAGCAGTGGGGGTTGCCTTCTGCCACACTTCCGGTGATGTCAGGGTGTGTGGCATATGCAAGTAAGTTGTGCTAATGAGTTATACTAATGAGCTCCTGCACCTCTTTTTCTACAAAATGACCCCTGTATAACCTTGCACATTCACTTGAACACAAGAAAATATGAAGCAGCTTCATATTGAATCAGACCGTCCATCTGGTCCATCACTGTCCACCAAGGAATTGCCTACTCAGACTTGCAGTGGTTCTGTCGTCGGGTAGACATCTCTCACGTCACCTATCTGGCCTTTGGATTTTCATGTCTATGATGAGATTAGCCCAGAACTCTGTTCCCACCTGTTCCTCTTCTAACTCACTTCCCATTATTCTTCAAAAATAGTCCCAAAATAAGCTTGCAAGACTCCGAGTACGGCAAAAGTCTGGCTGGTCATGAGACAGTAGCCAACTCAATGGATGCTTGAGGGACACAACAACCAAGTTTACTTTGAAATGCTCAAAAACAGTTTAGTGCAAGAATTGTGATGCTGTATTCTACCCATCTGCTCCACTAAGGGCAGAGCCTTCTGGTGGTGTGAGAACTTCTTCCACTGGACAAGGCCATTTTCTGCCAGAGTGGTAGGATATAACCCATGAAGCTCAAGGGGACCCACAGAGACTTTGGGGACAAGAAGCCAGTGTGGCGTAGGGGTTAGGAGTATGAAAAAAACGAGTTATCTGGAAGACCCAGGTTCAAATCACCTCTCGTACCATGGAAGATCACTAGGTGACCTTGTGCCAGTCATTAACTCTCAGCCTAACCTACCTCGCAGGGTTGTTGTGAGGGTAAAATGGAGGAGAGGAGAATGATGTAAACTGCTTTGGGTCTGCACTGGGGAGAAAGGTGGGGTATAAATGAATTAAACAAAGAACATGCCCGTTGTCCCATTACTCTATATTTGTGTTGGTTTTTTTATTCCACAGATCTTTGTATCTTCACACACGTGGATTATTACACACATGGGCATTCAAATTCCACACAAAAAGAATCATCTTGTTTGCTGTGCCTGGAATATATTACAAAACCCTGGCAAATATACACAATATGTAGATTTTATTCTGTTTCTTTGATTTGCAGTTTAGCTGTTTTGGTTTTACTGCAGAAATGAGGAACTTTTGCCCTACTGTTTTATATTATTGTCATGGGTCCAGCCAGAGCTTTTTTTGTAGAAAAAGCCCAGCAGGAACTCATTAGCATGATAGGCCACACCCAACTTCAGAAACTCATTAGCATATTAGGCCCCACCCCCATGCCTTCCCTTGGCTTGCCTGGGTGCCCTGTGGCAAGCCAGCCCTTGGATAGGTCGGGGAAGGCAGGCATTTAAATGCATCCCCGATCTTTGCAGGGGGCCCCAGCCCGCCTGCCTCGGAGTCGCTGCGGGGGGGGGGTGGCTCTCCAGGCCTTCACTCTGTAGCTACACATGCAGAGGTTTTGGCTGTAGTGGGCGTGGCCATCTCTGAAGCCAGCCGGAACTCCGTTCCTGTGCGTTCCTGCCCAAAAATAGCCCCAGCGAAGATAGCTTGGGACTCAGCCATCTGCTCCACCCAAAGTCCCACATGATTCCAAAGCACATGCTGAGCGACGTATGAGCCAGGATTGCATCATTCACAACAATATTGTGGAAAATGAGATTGCATCCCTCTCCTGGGATTATCCTGGAATAACTAACTGTGTAATCAGAGCCTCATCTTGAATACATATGTTTGTATGTGCTGGCAAATTGCAACAGACTCATGGCGACCCCAGCAAGGGGCTTGCAAGGCAAGTGAGAAGCAGAGGTGGTTGGCCATTGCCTTCCTTGGTGGTCTCCCAGCCAAGTACCCACCCTGCTTACTTTCTGAGATCTGATGAGCTCGGGCTATACCATATCGCTTCACATAACATACACTCATTTCTGTTAAAATTCAGAACTTGTAAGCTTGGATGCCCAGGGATCTCTTGAGGTCAATGGAAGAATGGAACACTTAGCTTATGACGTTTATCCTGTCTTTTCTTCGCAGTCAAAGGGTAGTTATTGTCCTTTAACCCAGTTTGCCAGTAACATCTTTCTAAATCCACTGGACTCAATGGGCTTAGAAGGGTATCACTCTTTTTAGGATTACACTGTGAATACCTTATTGGTTGATAATTCAGGAACATGAGTTTCTTCTTGATATGACATATAAGGAAGTTGCCTTTAAAATAGCTATATTAGCACTTCTGAAGTAAAAGCTAATTTAGCTAGCATGGCAGATGGTTACATGCATATGGGAAACAATTTACTTAGGTACAGGATTTTTAACACCCTTCTTATGGCAAAGAACTAAGGCACAATCCGTTGACATGGCAGCTACCACACAGTGGGTTGGATCCAACCAGTTTTTCTGTAGATGAAAAGGGAAGGAGGGGTCCCCTTTGACCACCTAAAAATGCTGGAGGTCATGAGAACTACATGGACAAAAGCCACGTGTGACAAAGGCTGCAATAGGGAGGGGAATTGGGTGTGGAAAAGTGAAAAGGCTGTTTGGATCCAACCCATGCATCCTCTCCTGTTTTATCCTCACCATAACCCTACGAGGTAAGTGAGGCAACGTGAGAATGATTGGCTCAGTCAATCCTTATGCAGAGTGGGGCTTGAACCCAGGTCACTCCAGTCCTAGGCAAGTGCTTTACCCACTGGCTCTTCTCCTGTGGCACTCAAGGCAGTTTACATAGGACTCCCAAGAGGTCTCCTATTGAGAGCCAGTTTGGTGTAGTGGTTAAGAGTGTGGACTCTAATCTGGGTGAATTGGGTTTGATTCCCCACTCCTCCATGTGCAACTGTTGGTGTGATCTTGGGTCAGTCACAAGGTCTTTCAGAGCAGTCCTTGAAAGAGCTCTCTCAGCCCCCTCCCACCTCACAGGGTGTCTGTTGTAGGGAGGGGAAGGTAAAGGAGACTGCAAGCCGCTCTGAGACTCTGAGTGAAGGGTGGGGTATAAATCCAAACTCTTCTTCTTCTTCCTATTCAGGCACTGGTCAGCCTCAGCTAAGTTGTCATGTCACGTGCCCTTTGATCAGAACTTGGGATCTCATGGACTTCAGCTTATTCTATATAACATGTAGGATGTGCCTTGTAACACCCCTGCCCATAACAACTCAGCATCAGCACAAGGGAATGATGATACAAGAGTCCTTTTCAGACATTATATCCACGCACACTGGGAACCCAGCAACAGTTTGTAGATCGTACAAACCCATGCTGTCACCATGTTGTCTGAAAAAGGGGGCAAACACTTATTTTCCATATGCATACAGCTTCAGCACATAGGACTCCCAAGAGGTCTCCTATTGAGAGCCAGTTTGGTGTAGTGGTTAAGAGAACTTGGGATCTCATGGACTTCAGCTTATTCTATATAACATGTAGGATGTGCCTTGTAACACCCCTGCCCATAACAACTCAGCATCAGCACAAGGGAATGATGATACAAGAGTCCTTTTCAGACATTATATCCACGCACACTGGGAACCCAGCAACAGTTTGTAGATCGTACAAACCCATGTGGTCACCATGTTGTCTGAAAAAGGGGGCAAACACTTATTTTCCATATGCAGACAGCTTCAGCACATGTAATGTGCCTGCTGATTTTTCCGGAGCTCTCATTCATGCACACCAATACACACATGCAAAATACATATGGCGCCTCTATTCAGATGACATGGCAACTGTGGATATCAAGGGTATTGTGGGCAGTGTGTGTTTCTGATATGCACTTGCCAAGCAGATGTAATATCTGAAAATAACAACTGTTGAGCATCTACTAATTTATACCTCAAGTGATGTATATTGGGGTTGCCTAACCTCCAGGTAGGACCTGAAGATCTTCCAGAATTACCGCTGTCCATACTACAGAAAGCAGTTCCCATGGAGGAAATGGCTCCTTTGGAGGGTGGACTGTATGGTATTGTAGCCCACTGAGGTCCTTCTTATCCTCTCCTCAAACTCCAGCATCCCAAAATTTCCAGCAATTTTCCAAACTAGAGTTGGCAACCTATATAACTGAGGTGCTCAGGCTATGACAGGAGCAAGCTTGCAGGGCTTAAAACAATTTGGCTCATACTTAGAGCTAGAGAGATGGTGGCGTTTTGAGACCGAGCACCCGTCTCATAGCCTCCTGCATTTCTTTATTCCTCAGGCAGTAGATGATGGGGTTCAGCGTTGGGGTCACCACATTGTAAAGCACAGAGGCCAGGGTGTCTAAATATGCAGGGTAACTGGAGCCAGGCCGGTTATAATTAAACATTCCACTGGTGAAGAACAAGGTGACCACTGTGAGATGGGAAGCGCAGGTGGAGAAGGCTTTGCGGCGACCCTGGGACGTTCGGATCCTCAAGACCGCCACGACAATATGAACGTAGGATAGCATGATGCAAAGAAAAGGGCTGACGCCAAGCAGCATGGTTACCACCACCAATGTCATTTGGTTGGGGAAAGTGTCTGCGCAAGAGAGCTTGAGCAACTGGGGGACATCACAGAACACGTGGTCCAGCTCGTGAGAGGCACAGAAGGGCACGAGAGAGGTCATGGCTGTGTGCAGGACCGAGTTGAGGAGGCCACAGACCCATGAGGCTGCCACCAACTGAGTGCACGATGTTTGGTTCATGAGGAGGGTGTACGTGAGGGGACGGCAGATGGCGACGTATCGGTCGTACGCCATCACGGCCAGCAGGAGACACTCGACTCCCACAAAGGCCACCAGGAAGTAAAGCTGGGCCAGGCAGCCCTCGAAGGAGATGGCCTTGGACTCTGCCAACAAGTTTTTCAGCACGTGGGGCAGAGTGACCGAGGTGTAGCACATGTCCAGGAAGGAGAGATGCCGGATGAAATAGTACATGGGCGTATGCAGGCTGGAATCCAGGAAAGTGGTGGCCAGGATGAGGCCGTTTCCAAACAAGGTGGTGACGTACATGGTCAGGAACAAGACGAAGAACAGAGAATGGGGCTTGGGGAAATGGGAGAAACCCAGGAAGACAAATTCCCTGATTGCTGTTTGATTTCCCATCTGCTCCTGCCAGGATGACATCTTGCATCTGAAATGGGGAAGTCGGTTAGAAAACAAAGAGGCTGGTTTGTGCTTACTTTATGACATTATGGGGGCTGTCCCCCCCAATTGTCTGCCTGCATTTATTTATTTGTTTGTTTATGTGATGGCTCCAGCATGTAAATCAGCCACCAGGCTCAAAGTGCCACCAGCACACAGCGTGCGCGCCGCAATGATGTCACCCGGAAGTTATGTCATTACACTGGGCACATTCTACAGTAAGGGGGGAGTGAAAATTTAAAGTAGTGAAGTTACCTTTTGGGGAATTTGTGAAAGCGAAGAAAAGGGATTGTTTCCCAAGCAGTGCAGCATGGACTTTTTAAAAGTAAACAAACAGCCAAGATGTCGGGGCCCAAACAGGACAAGGAGAAGGAAAAGCAAGCGAAGAAACTGATAGCAACTTCCGGTCCTAGCTCCCTCTGCTGGACCAGATGCAGAAAAACAGCCAAACTCTAGTAAGCATGGAAAGTGTTCTCAGCAGTCAACAGACACAATTAACAGATGCAGCCAAGAAAATGGAGGAGATTGCAAAGAAATGTCTGGTATCAACAGAAGATACACAGAAAATCAAGAAGAAGGTCAGTAAAATGGAAAAGAAGCAAGACATGCATGAAAATAAGTTATTGATGTTACAAATGGAAAAATCAAATCTGACTCTCCGGTTTCAAGGAATCCAGGAGGTTGAAAAAGAAGATCTCAGAAGTATACTAACGGAAGCATTGACACCACTGATGGGCAGTGAAGTGGATAAATTAAGCGAAGAAATGGATCTGGTATACAGATCCTATTCTAACTTTACAAAGAAAAATAATCTGCCAGCTGAAGTGGTTGTCAAATTTACTAAACAATGTGTCAGAGATCAGATTTTGAAAGTGACGTCAGCAACACCCTTGAAGATTGGAGAACAAGCTATAAGGATATTAAAAGATGTACCATTTGAAATTCGACAGAAGCGGAAGGCAAATAAAGGACTGACCACATTCTTGCAAAATCGTCAAATTAATTACAGATGGTTGATTCCAGAAGGACGGGTCTTTAAGTTTAAAGACAAGAGAGAGAAGATTGACTCCATTTTCAAAGCTCAAGACTTTTTGAAGAGACACGCCAGTTCAGAGGAAGAGGCAGAACTCGCTAAGTGGTAAGTTTTTGGTAGCGACGTGGACAGCAACCTGGAGGGAGGAGACGGAGAACTGGAGGAAAAAGGAGCGGTAGGAGGTGTCTCCTATAACTTGAGAGAGAGAAAAGGCAGACCCCCCAACGCCTGATGAACTTTTGAGAGTGCTGCAGAAGACAATACTAATACTAACCCAAAAGGACTTTACTAACCTAATTAATTTTTTATCTTTGACAGATAAAGAAGCAAGAAGATCAACCACTCACGGTTGAAGCTATGGACTGTACTAATACTGATAAAAGATTAATATACTAATTTACTCATCACTCACCACTTTTCTTAATCCCCCTATATACCCGCCCCTCTTTCTGAAAAATTTAAAGCAATAAAGTTCTCTCCTTTTGAGGAGAGTTTAATAATACATATATATATTTAATAATACATATATATAGAATTAAAATCCGTTTTAAATGTAACATCTCAAATTCAAATGGGTTCTTGATATGAGATATATAATAGACCTTCCTTTACACCTTGATATATTTTTTATCTGTTAAAGGTTCTAATGAATATGTAGAGTGGCAAAAATATGTAATATTTAATATGTAGTAATAATGAAACTAATGATGTAGTCAAAAGAGAATACAATCATATACCAATAGAAGTAAGACCTATTGTATATTATAGATATTATAGATAATACCTTAAAGATTTTAACAAAGGGGATGTAAGAGAAAATATTTTCTGTCATACATTTTGTATTATATGATTGTCCTTGACCAATGCATTTATGTTGTATAAACACTCCCTTTTTTCCTTTCCCTTTTCTTTCCTGTATTCCCACTGTCTTTCTAAATAAATAAATACATTTTTAAAAAGAAAATATCAAATGGCCAACCCAAGACCATACGTGTTTTGGCCACAAAGGCCTTTCTCAGTGGTCAGTAATACACATCATAGGTTTAGAAACACATCTGGGAAATCTCGACATTATAACAGCTTATGTCAAGCTTGTATGAGTCACTGCTCACTGCTTCAGATACCTTCTGCATTTGGTGAGAAAGGTGATACCTCTTTGTACCTGTGCAACCTAAACAGCATGATAAAAAGTAGAGACATCACTCTGCCAACAAAAGTCCGCATGGTCAAAGCAATGGTATTCCCAGTAGTCATGTATGGCTGCAAGAGTTGGACTATAAGGAAGGCCGAGCGCCGAAGAATAGATTCTTTTGAACTATGGTGCTGGAGAAGACTCTTGAGAGTCCCTTGGACTGCAAGAAGATCAAATCAGTCAATCCTAAAAGTAATCAACCCTGACTGTTCCCTGGAAGGCCAGATAATGAAACTGAAGCTCAAATACTTTGGCCACCAAATGAGAAGGTAGCACTCACTGGAGAAGACCCTGATGCTGGGAAAGATTGAAGGTCAAAGAAGACGGGGACGGCAAAGGATGAGATGGTTAGACAGTGTCATAGATGCAACGAACATGAAGTTGAGCAAACTTCAGAGGACGGTGGAAAACAGGAGGGCCTGGCGAGATCTTGTCCATGGGGTCGCAAAGAGTCGGACTCGACTGTGCGACTGAACAACAAAAAGCAGTAGGAAAGAGCAAGAGTACAGTAGCACCTTAAAGACTTGCAAAACATATGGCAGGGTATGAGACATACTTCTTCAGACTCATGAAAGCTCATACCCTGCCACGTATTTTGTTAGTCTTGCTCTTTTCTACTGCTACAAACAGACTAACGTGGCTGCCCATCTCGATCTATGTCAAGCTTGTTTGAGATTATTCTTAATGTAGCCTGATATCCAGGCCCTTTTTTTAAATTATATTTTTGTGTACACCATATAGTAACTATTTCTTTTGATATGCATTTTATTTGCTGTATCTTGACCCTTGTAGCGTTCTCAGTATCTTTTGGGTTGAGTTTGTTTCCCCTTCCTCCTTTGTTTGAGCCATTTGTTAAGACCAGAGATACTAATGAATACGAATTCAGGGGTTTCCCACCAAATTCTCCCTTTGAAATAGGGTAGGGAAGAGTGTGATGATATTTGTTGTTCCCCATCACCCTATACGCATAGAAAGGGAGAGTGGAGTAGAATAGTCATGGACTGAATTCCTTCCATGCACTTTCGCTTCTGCTACCTGCATTTGTGCTTCCTTTCTCTGCTTAGTTTCAGGGCATTTCTACCTTTTCTGCTGGATGACTCTTCTTTGCTCCTTCTGAATCCTTTTCTTTCTGTTACTCATTCATACCTGGTTGGTCATGGCTGGTTTCCCTCCTGCCACTCTCTGCCTTTCTGCTGGATGACTCTCCCTTGCTCCTTCTGAATCCTTTTCTTTCTGTTACTCATTCATACCTGGTTGGTCATGGCTGGTTTCCCTCCTGCCACTCTCTGCCTTTCTTCCCTTTTGCTTCCCCAGCCCCAGTCCCACTTCACTCCATCAGGCAGACCGACTGCCCCTGTCAAAAATACTCACCCCTGCAAGTAAACAAATAGCTTGCAAACCACGGTTCCTTGTAATATCTAAAAATATCTAAACAGAGTCAACGGATTAGAGCACACCAGCTTTTCCACCTGCAATAGAGGTAGAAGGGGCCCATTTTCACCTCTGAAAGGGCTTTGAAAGGAATCATGGCACTGGCATGGACAAGCCAAACGGGACTAGCATTGCAGTGAGGAATGGAATCGGACAAGATCAAGGAGAAGAGTCGATAGGGCTCAATCTTGTATTCATGAAACTCAAAATTCTGCTCTAATCCTCAATATCCCTGCCATCTTTTTCACTCAACAGTCTCACCCAATTCCTGTCTGTATTCATGAAACTCAAAATTCTGCTCTAATCCTCAACATTCCTGCCAGCTTTTTCACTCAACAGTCTCACCCAATTCCTGTCCTTACTGCATCCCCCATCCAACCTGGTTTTTGTCCATGCAGGTCCCATGATTTCCAGCACATAATCTTTTTGGATAGACAAAGGAGACCCCCCCCTCCCTCCCCACCGGCAGAAAAACTAGTTGGATCCAACCCATGTTCTTGTAGCTGCAATGACAGGAAATATTTTGCATACATTGATATTGGGATCTTTTAGTCTAAATGGAGACGACAAAATAATGCAAACTGAGAGAGAAAGAGAGAGGGAGGGAGGGAGGGAGGGA